GTGTTGGGATATGTCTTCTCATGGCTGTGACATTGACTATTCCCAGGAAGCATCCTTGCTGATGCTGATTTGTTAAAGTAAATCACCAGGCTTCTTTTGCAGCTACTGTGGCTGCCAAAGGAAATCTCTGAAGCTCTTAACTGCATTGGGACAGGAAGAAAGAAGGAGTATGTTCATATTACCAAAATAGTTAGCTCTGCTCATGTCAATTCTGCAGAAAATGTATTCTGCCTAAGCTTAGGGTGGCATTTTAGAAGGTTTTAAAATCCAGTTTCACTCCCTGGGCATCTGTTCTGAACTTCTGTCTTCCAGAATCCTGGGGAGTAGATAGTCATCACAAAGCCATCAGCTGGACATAATGCCTTAAGGTTCACCTTCTTTGTAGGATGAGTTAATCACAAGAAAGATGTTACATCTGACCCAGAAACTTTTATATAATAACAGGAGCTTTGAACCACAAGGTGTTACTGAGAAGACCTGTGGCATTTTGTCCTTACTATAAGAAGCCCAGTTTTTAAACATTGGAAATATCTGATAAATTAGTAATTTGTTCTATTTTTCCCTTTCTCTTATTCTTAGGGAAAAGGAGGTGCTAAGACGCTTATGAACACTATCATGCAGTTGAGAAAAATCTGCAATCACCCATATATGTTTCAGCACATCGAGGTAAGTCTTCGCGATGTGTTTTGGTCCTGATTGTGCTAATCTTACGAATGCCCTTAAAAAAACAGAAAATAAAAACCAAAATAGGTTTAAAACGTGTCTGTGGAGGCTGAAACTGAGTGATCTGATAGCTCAACAAGCAGAATTAACAAACATAAATTTTCTGGTCGTGGATTCTCATTGGTACCAAGCACGTGAACATCTAGAATTTTATAACAGAGTTTCAAGTAGTGAGAAAATGTTGTAAGCAATGGCTTGTTATGTAGGTTGGGATAAGGACTGTGAATTACCTTGTTATGGTAGGAGCTCTGAAACTGAAGATAGTGATAAATACATCAAGCTGCCTCTGAAGGATGCTGTGAACAATATCAAAATAATATATTTATAACTGTTAATGACAAAGTTTTTTTCGATATTTTCTATGTAAAAGATACTGGCTCTAGTCTGTTACTTTGATTTATATTTTTCCTTTCTTGTTTATACTGTGGCAATGTAAATTTATACTTTTATCCTGATGCTTGGGTCTCTAGAAAGCTATTTTAAGGAAAGAAGACATTTTCTGCCCTGCTCACTACATGTGAATAAGTTTCCTAAATTGACAGTGTTTCACCCCAGTAGGAGCAATTGACTTGAGCAGGAATGAAAAGAAGCCACAATTGCGGTCTCCATTTTTCAGTGTTGCTGCTAAGACAAATGGTCCTGGTGGCGATTATTTGCCAGTGTAGTGCCTGCTTTCTACTGCAGAATGAACAGGAAATGGAGAGAAAATCACTGCAGGGCTCCAGTGTCTGCACCAATTTATTTAAAAATATAAATAGAAACTTCTGGAAAATTAAGACCTAATCACAGTATAAAAATTGAGTTGAAATATTCTTGACCTCAAATAGTGTTTTTTTTTCCTTGCTTTTATTTGGCAGTTGCACTTGTTGGGTCAGAGTATTTATTACACACGCTTTCCCTATACTAGAGTCCTGTCCCAACTGTGCTGGGGAATTAGGAAGACCCTGCTTTTGCCTTCAAGTCCACGGGGGAGGTATCCACAGACACAAGGGAGAGTTTTTATAGACGTAGGGGGGAGTATCTATAGATCTAAGTAAAATGACAACAGTCATCTTAAAACAACACCTAAAAAAAAAAAATCTCCCCAGCAAGTCAGAGTTATCTGATATGCAGTCGAAGGAGAATCCAGTGGGCAATAATGAGTTCATGTCGCAGGCCACTTTCACTGGGAACGGGGTCAGTCACTCAGAATATCCACGCTGTGGTTTGCTTGATTTGTAATCCAGGGTAGTAACAGATTGTAAGACTTGCAGGAGGATCAACTTTTAAACGATAACATGAAGCATCTTATAAACTGATAGTGTGTTAAATAGATGTAAGGTATCAATGATTTAGCGGTGGGTGTTTGTTGGGTTGGGACGGGACGGGAACAAAGATTTAATGACGAAAATGACTGGGGTGGTGTCGGACTCGCCTGTCACTCACCATCCCATTTTTCCTTTTACAGACTCCGGTCTATAGAAGGCTTTGGGGACTTAGAAATTATGGATGTTAAGTGTCAATCTTATTTCATTTTGGTTATCATAAAAAATTACTCTTGGACACCTGCTGGGCCATGTCGGGAGGAAGGGAGATGATGCCATCTGTCTTCCAGCTGCTGTCTGGGGTGCAGGGAAGGGTGGAGCGGCATGGCAGAAGAAGCTAAGTTTAAGGAACATGCCCTCCAATGCCTGCGTATTTACACTTTAGGTAGCAGTCAGTAGAAAGGCAGACTTCGATTTGCAATTTTTTTTTAACATAAAAAATCTTTCAGGAGTCTATTCCTGGAAAAAAGAAATCCACAGTTATTGGTGAATCTATTGACAATTATGAGTGAGAGACGGGGTGCACATTTGCCTTTGTCGTGTTTTGTTTGCCACACGCCTTTGTTCATCCTAAATCACACCAGAAGCTCAGTCTCACATCGGTCTCACTGCCTCCCTGGGGATCTTTAAACTGAAATGAAAACTGTATTTTTAAAATGATGCTGACATGTAATCTTATCACCATCCGCTGACACTGACCATCTCTGGATTTTACGACCCTGCTTGGAGACAGGGATGGAACCCAATGAGCACAGGTGTGGTTCTAGGAGTTGGAGTCCTGTTTTTGGCCTTTGTTCGTCAGTGTTAATTTTGCCGCAGGGCAGCACCCTGAGAGGCTGGAGCCTGCCATACATGATGAGCATATTTGAGAGTCACTGTCAAACCAAAGGGAAAGAGCCAGTCCCCTTGGAGGAGGAGCTGCAGGGATCAGGGGAGGACGGAGAGCAGAAAAGGGAGACAGCCGGTGGCTGACGTGAAGGTGTGACTTGTTTTCCATCCCCAGGATGGTCTCGGTTCCCATAAAGTCGGAATGGAGAAATCACGTGCAGAACAGTCATCTGTTTCTTCCTCTGAGTCAGCAAGGAGGGAATTATGTGAATAAATTCTGTTTTCTAAAAGTAGAAGCAGGACACCTGAGGGGTGCTAGACATTTAGGGCCTTATTTGTAATAGAGAAAAACACAGTATGGAAGGAATGTTAGGATTTCACCAAACTAAGAATTACAACATATTATATAATCACATTATTTTTATCGCTAAATGTTTCTGCCATACATATATTTGTGTTTCCATATTAATCCTGATTTGCTTGTATTGAGCTCTTCCTCGGGTCTAGACTCTGAGCTCCTTGCAGGTACTTACTCCTTGACGATGGATGCCCAGAAACAGCTACAGACTCTGCCCTGGGCCAGTGGATGCTCAGACGTTGTTTGATGAGTAAACTAACCGTATCATCTGAGTATGAGAGTCTAGAGACTTGAAGAAGCTCACAGGATATGTTTCTGTTGGAATAAAAGTATGAACTCAAAACACTGAGTTTCTGATTCATCCTATAATGAGTATTTGCTTATTCCTTAACTATTTTGTTTGTTTCAACTATACTCTAGAAATAGATAGGATGACTTCACTAAAAGAATAATCATTAAGTTAATAATTACATTTTTTAAAAAATCACTTTCTTCTCTCTCTATTAAAGGAATCCTTTGCTGAACACCTGGGCTATTCAAATGGAGTCATCAATGGGTAAATTTTAAAATGTTTTTTCTTCAAAAAAATGACGTTGTTGATCCTACCTAAACACTTTTTCTCTTTTTTTTTTTTTTTTTTTTTTTTGAGACAGAGTCTCACTCTGTTGCCCTGGGTAGAGTGCCGTGGCGTTAAACACCTTTTCTCTACAGTGTTTCCGATATTGCAGATACATACTTCCAGCCTTCTCAACCCTCCTTGCTCCTCAGCAGAGATACAGAAGTTGCTAAGCAAAATGTTATCAGCATTCTCTTTTATTTTACTGGCATAAATCACTACTTGCCTTGAGCAAGTGGCTATTCAAAGGACATAGATCTCATTTAATAGACTTAATGGTATCCTCGTGCTCTAAAAATGTTGTTGAAGCTCCAAAGGTTGTTACTTATAACCAAAATTGTAGCTTGGGCTTGAAAAGAATTTGTCTTATTAACTTTTACATTGATATCTAACATGAATGTGCATGATAGGAAATGTCTCATCTGCTATAAATGTGTCCAATTTTACAGTAAATCGTTGGAGTATGGTTATATAAGAAATGTTTTTCATTAGCAATGGATATTGAAGAGAATCATGCCATGCATTAGCTGAAAGTCTCTGTTTTGCTTATTTTGCACCGGGAAAAATGTATTATGAGGATATAGGTGTCATTCTTGGATCCCAAGGACAGACAGTGTCACTGGGCTAAGAACCAGGAACTGAAACCCATCCAGAGGCAATGCCACTAAGTTCTCCCTGCCTCTCCTAACCTCTCTTTCCTCTGGATCCCGTGGTCATTCCTGCTCCTATCAGCCTGGCCAGGGTTGCATGATGAGAACATGGCTACAGAGGGTATTTGGAGGAAAGTTTTCAGAGCAGGGGATGGCCATCAGGAAGATCTCCTTTTGAAAAGAGATCTATTAGAAATAACATATTCTGTGTCATAAAATCAACTACCCAATGATGCATTTCAGTGTTATAGACTGCATGTATACTGGCAAGTTTTCCAAACAATATCCACCCTAAAGTTAGGTTTCAACGATCTAACATAGCTCTCTTGATAAAAAAACAAAGTGGAGAATTAATTGCAGAAGAAAAAGGCCCTGCCTCAGCCTTTCTTTGTATCACGGCATCCTCTCCATCTCATGCTCCCGTCATATTTTCACTGCTACAAGCAGCCAGGACCCTTGTCCCCTCCCAGTCCATTCTCACTCAAGGTCCATGGTGATCATGTAAAAAGATTTGCCAGATCTTGTCACTCCCCTGCTTTAAAGCCATCAATGGCTTTCCACTACGCTGAAAATAAACCACTCAGTGTAGTTAATAGAGCCCTGCAGTACCTGCGCCCACGCCCACCCTCCGCCTCTCTGTGCTTGTGTCCCCGTATTCTCACTTCACTTGTGTTTAAGCCACACTGTTTTTTTTTCTTTTTTCAGTTTCTCAGACTCTCCAGGCTCCTTTCCTCCTCAGGGCCTTTGCACATGCTCTTTCCTCTCCCTGGAATCTCCTCCTGTCCACCCCCACAGCCCCCATTCTTCACTTGGACATCTTTTCACTTATTATTTCAGGTTTTAGCTAAAATGCTATCTTTCAGGGAGGTCTCCTCTGACACTCTAAACCAGTGGTTGGCAAACTTTTTCTGTAAAGGGCCAGATTGTAAATATTTTCAGCTTTGTGGGCCATAACGTCTCCGCCACACCTGTTCGCCTCTGCTCCTGTAGCTTAAAAGCAGCCACACAAAACAGAGATGAGCATGGCTGTGTTCCAATAAAACTTTATTTATAAAAACAGGCCACAGGCAAGGGCCGAAGTTTGCTCTGCTCTAATCTAGAGAGGGTATCACATGTGGCTGTGAATTCTCTCATTGCACCTTGCTATTTTTCTTTATAGTACTTATCACAATTTGTAATTACCGCAATTACCCATTTTGGAGGCAGAGACTCTATTTTGCTTATCATTATACACACGCCTGGCATTGTGCTTGGTACATAGTACATTCAATAAATATTTAAATGTATCTTAAGTGCCCTAAATTAATAATTTTATATACTTAAGGAGGAACTTAAAGAAATATGACACACGTATGTGTGTGTGTGTGTGTGTGTGTGTGTGTGAGAGAGAGAGAGAGAGAGAGAGAGAGAGTCGGTGAAAGTATTAGGAACATGAAGCTGTTTCCTTTCCTTTCTAGAATGTGTCCTCATACCTAGCGTATACAATGCACTCTTTATGGGTTTTACCTGAATACATTATATATTCTTTTTCTGCTAAATACTCTCACTGCTTTGGAGTTGATATTCATTCCACAGTTACTTACTGAACGTTTACTATTTATAAGACCCTATATGAAAGCAAAGTGGTACTGGATCCTTCAAGAAGACAGCAGTAATACTGTCTTCTTGTTTTGCATTTTTGGGTTCAGGGCCGAGCTGTATCGGGCCTCAGGAAAGTTTGAGCTACTTGATCGTATTCTGCCAAAACTGAGAGCTACTAATCACCGCGTGCTGCTTTTCTGCCAGATGACGTCTCTCATGACCATCATGGAGGATTACTTTGCTTTTCGGAACTTCCTTTACCTGCGCCTTGACGGTAAGTGCAGAAGGTACTAGGCTCAGAGGCCTGCAAATGAAGGGGTGGTGGACACTTGGATCCAATCTCAGCCAAAAAGGAGGGTTAAAATTGAAGAACTGACTAGCAGGCTGGGGCACAGGTTTTCTAGATAGAAGTTTTTACATCCTCGAGCTTCAAATAAGCTGACATCATTCGCACAGCTGTATATCCCACGTACAAACCAACTCAAATGAATTTAGAGTCACCTATGAGCAACCAAAATGTTAAAATTCTTCTAGATCTCAGGATTGATTGTTACCTATGCACCAGATAGAATATGTTGACCAGCCTTTAACTTTCTGATAAGGAATATTTTAGGGGAATAAAGGCTATGTCACTTTTTCTTCACTAACAATTTAATCGTTCATTTAAGACTATATTTAATTATCATATTTAATTATCAATTAATTATCATTGCCTTTCTCTGTTTCTAAATAGAAAATTATTTAGGACATGCCTAAAACATTATATTGTCAAGAGATTTGATTTCATTGTTTCCTGGATTTTGCAAACTATATAAAATATTTGCCTGATTTTAAGAGTGAAATTTAAACACTATGTCTTAAAAATTAGTAAGAAAATATGAATGGAAGAAAATGTGATTTTAGGGATACCCCCTAAATTTATGATTTGGATAATGTATTAGAGATTGAGGATATCAAAGTTTTTCTACTATGGCAGCAGATATCAAAGGGTGGAAAGTAGGAAAAGGAGCTAATTTATAGCCAGGATGCTGTTTTAATCCCTGGGTACAACAGTGTAGACCACTACTAATACCAGTTTTTATCTAATGCAGTATTAATATTATTGCTAAGTGGGATATTTAAAGTTTATGTTCCATTAAAAGACTTTGTTTTATTTTCAGTCCAACATGTTGTCTCTCTTATGCCCTTGATATAATTGGATATATAGCAAAGCTTGCTGTACATTCTCTTACTTGAGTTTTTAGGTGAATTCACTTTATGGTCTGCCTCTTAGGGTATTATTAAGTTTTAAATTAATTATACCCTCTGACAAATTTGATGATTTAAAATCATTCTACCTCTCCTTTCCAAAGTCACTGAAAGCCAATGAATGGCTAAGTAAATGTTCATTTTAAATTCATAGATACAGCCATATTATCCCCAGTCTGTCTCTTTTGGCAAATCTCCTCTTTTGTCTCTTCTCCTTTGATTGGATCCCTCCCTCCCTGGGAGGGGAAAGTTCAGCAGGCTTCTTTCAAAAGATAAACCCTGCTTTACCTGCTGCTCAGGTGAGGGGCATCTCTGCTTTATTTTCCCCTGGATTTACAGCCCCCACAGGTGTCCTACATATAACCATTGTTTGTTACTTTGTGGCACTTCCTTTTGAAGCTCAGCTCTCCCAGGACTGCTGCATTGAAATGTTTGAATCTATAAAACTGGTAAGAAGTGATTTCCTTGAAACAAATCACTCTAATGTTTTCTTGCCAGCCTGAGAGATCCTCTTTAATAGTCTATTGGTTGCTCTTCTTATTGTTATTAATAATAATAGTCATAACAGCTATCATAATAGTCATAATAGCTAACATTTATGGAGCACCTACTCCATGTGGAATGCTAGGCAAGGCATTTCCTGAGCATTATTAACTTAATTTTCTCAACAAATAAGATACTGTTATCCCTGTCTCCCAACGTGCTTTTATGATCCCCAGTTAACAGATGAGAAAACAAAGGTAAATGGTGAAACCAGGTTCTAACTTGGATCTCTCTGATTCCAAATTAGCTCAGTTTTAGCAGATCCAGCGAGATATACCCCATCTCTGGAAATACAGCCTGCTTTTCTAGCTATGGCATTTTATGAATGATTTTGAACTTAGTTAAAATTTTTTAAATTGATTCATTGAAAATGACCAGGCACTAGAGATACAAGAGGAATCAACCACTCACTGTTCCTACTCTCAGAGCTCTTACCATTAGGTTGAAGGAGACAAGCAAGTTCCATAAAATGCTACAGATGGAACTGAGAAGAAGGCTGTCCGGCTTTCTTTGCATAAGAAACAGCAGCCATTCATTTTGGGGGTGGACAGAATTGATGGACCAACAATCAATGTACACATCGATAAATTAGCACACACACTTCCAACTGCACCACCCTCCCTCCACCTCCATCACTCAAGTGTTAAAATGACTTCACATTTTCATTGCTGAATTTGATGTCTCAGATTTTGACTTCAGGAAAAAAAAAGTCACTTGATGAAAGCTAAGCATATTTTTTTCTGCAGAGATTATGGTTACATGAATAGATTTAACTAATATTCCATTATAGTTTTTATCTTCACTGGAAATGATTTTTGAGTGAGAGCAAGTGGTGAAGTTTTATCCCAGAAGACAAAATTTTCCAAAAGCAGCAGAAACGAAGTTAAAGTTAGTAATCGTGAAAGACTGGCGGTGTGTTCCTTCTGGCAAATTCTGTAATTTTCAACACAATTGCCCCGCTATTAATTGTATTCCTACACTTGGTTATGTTCTACATCAAAGTCTAGAAGTCCATGAAACTGATGCTAGCACTGAGCACATTAAATCCTCTGCCACCTGCAAGGAACATTTGCCTTTGGACAAACTCTTACATGGTAGTTTAAATCTCCCTGAGCAATATTAAAAAGATAGCTAATGATCGGCAAAGATCTTGACTTGGGAATCTTTGACTAATGGAATTGGTAATTCAGCAGATCTGAACCTTCTAATAAGAAATGCCATAGCCTTGCATGAAAAGTGATTTCATCTTGTTTGTTTTTATGATTTTTCAAGTTCCCAGCTATTTATACAGTTTATATACACTCCAGATATATGGTCAGTCTGTTTGCTTGAAGTATCTGGCATAGGACCTGAAAACTCTTTTGACCAAGTAATTTTGATATTTCTTTTGTTTTTCAATGCTTTATTTTATACTTAGGGTTATTTCATCCCAGTAGGCATATCCCATAATTAGTTTAGTTCTTAATACATGTGATCATTAACTGATTATTTTTCAGTTAATCAACACTGTTGAACTTCTACCCGCGGAGTACATAGATGCGCAGTTTTTGTACCCTGCTATCAGAAAACAGATGCCATTATCTCTGGGAGCCCCTTCTTTCCCCATTTTAGAAATATTTTTTGGTTTCTGTGGCTTTTCATTTGGTTTAAGGCAGAGGATAAATATGTGAACCATTCATCCATGTGACTAATTTTTAAAAAATTATTGCAGCTAGAAAGACGATATATAGAGAAGGTTTCATGGCAAAACAGAACGTGTCTCCATTAGCATCATGAACAAATAGTTCACGTTGATCTCAGAAAGCCAATTCTGAAAATAAAAAGAAAAAAAAGGAATTCCACAGTTTGAAACTTCACTCCACAGAGCACATTGAGTGTCCCTGCCCCCAAATCCAAATTCAGACAATACATTGTGGCAGGATTTGACGGGTTTGCTAAACTCAAAATCTAACTTAGACAGTAAATTGAATCTAAAGAACGTTGCTTCATCAAATGAGGAGAGCCCCACAAACCCCTTGTTCCTAGTCCCCATTTGTTATATGCAGGGAACTGATTTTTCCCGCTCATCAGGAGGGTATTGTTATTTTTATTAAATGTGAAAAACAGATTCCTCCCATATTTGAGAACCTGATCCTCATTGTAACTTGATTCCATTAGCTATAGTTACGTAAATGCTTTAATCCTCTGGAGTAAATTGCTCATATATTTTCATCCGTAAAAAACAGAACATGTAGAAATAATATTTGTATAGCAGCCAGTCAGGGACTGTCATGTAACATGCATGTACATTTCTCAACAGCCTAAAGCCTTTTTCAAAACTCGGCACCTATGCTTTTCTGCTGAAATATGTTCAGGTGGAATAGTGGTGGGTTTTTTTTTTTTTTTGCCCCTTCCATAATGCATTTCATAAAATGGCCAGAAAAATACATTACAGCTACATAGTAAGTGACCGAAGGGCTCATTTGGAATGCGACTGTGCCCCAGAAGGGAGCACCGAACTCTGCAGTTGGGTATCCTGTGCTAATTCACTATTTTGGAGCCTCCTCAGACTCTGGGTGAGCCACCCCAGGTGTATAACATGCTGTTATGTGTGATTGGTTTTAATTTAGCATCCTTTAAACTCAACAGAGCAGAACGTGAAGGTGAGAAACAGACTAGGAGACTCTTTATATTTTTTTTGGATTATTGTGGCTTTAAGTCTTGCTAACAAGGATAAAAATATTCCATTCACATTTTATGGTTTTCCCAGCCAGGCCATACCCAGTAGCAATCCAAATGGTAAAGTTGTAGAAATCAGCTTTTTCTTTTGTTTCCACTCTCTTGGCATAAATTAGTCCTCACTGTAATGCCTATTGCCAAACTTGCTTTAAGCCATTATAAGAATCATGTTAGGTATATGTGTGTGCTTTAAAAATTATTTGGTATGTTAACGTACAGAAATAAATCCATATAATGTTTTCATTAAATTTTAAGTTAGAGTAAGAATATTGTAAAATTTGTAAAGTTGCAAAGGTGCCCAGTCAGAAATGTTTAAATGCTTTCTCTTTTTCTTTTTAATTGCAAATGTTCAAAGTTCTTTTCAAAAGTACAAAACCCTGGGGATTATCTCACCAGTGCTAAGAGGAGTCTGGGTGTATTTTTCAAGGCAGCAGGCCTTTTTGTCTAGTTCTGTGCCATTTTCAGACAGGAGTTAATTGGCAAATTTATTTTTCTGATCCCCTCAGGTACCACCAAGTCTGAAGATCGTGCTGCTTTGCTGAAGAAATTCAATGAACCTGGGTCCCAGTATTTCATTTTCTTGCTGAGCACAAGGGCTGGAGGCCTGGGCTTAAATCTTCAGGCAGCTGACACGGTGGTCATCTTCGACAGCGACTGGAATCCCCATCAGGTCTGCATGCCCGACTTGGGTGCCCGGGCCTCCCTCTGGACAGGAGCTAAGAGATTATCAGTGTCATCATTCACATTTACTGGACAGAGCAGATTTCTAAATGAGTGGGCCATTTCTCCTTTGGAGTCAATTCTTAGGGCTCTTATCCCCCCCCAGAGCACAGATGTGATACCCTGCATATATACCTTTAAAGAGGTCAAGTTTGGGGTAGAAAAACTCAGTTTCGGATTAGTTTTAATTGCATCTCCTGGGATTGCCATTGAGCAAAGTATATTTGGTGAAGGATAGATCAAAAATGTTCTGAAATAATAAGAACAGCAACTAACATGTATGGGATCCTTACTCTGTCAGCCTCTCCAGGTGCATTGTTTCGTTTAGTTTTCACAGCCACCCTGCGAGGTAGTTAATACTACTATTTACATCTTTACCATCAAGGAAACTGAGTCCTAGGTACTTCCCCAAGACCAAACAATTCATACGTGATAGTTAACCTTTTATTTTGCATGTTTCGTTTAAAATCATCATCAAAAATGATTCCAGCATTTATTATTGTAAGTTCTTTTATTGTTAAGTTTAGAGGTATCCTTTTAAAGGAATACTTCGGTTGATTTAAAAAACAATCCAAATCGGTCTCTTACGGCACTGGTTTCCTAAATTACTCTGGGAGGTAACGCACCTGCCTGTAGGATATTGAGTAGAATGATACTGGCCAGCATTTGATTCATACCAGAACAAACATTGAATTCAACATAGTAAAAAGGAGAACTGCAGCGCTCACATATGAATATGCCTTCTGTATCAACTTAACCTAGACTCCTCACTGAGCCGTGGTTTCCTCAACAGTACCACTAACTATCTCACTGGGTTGTTGTGAAGATTGAGTGGAAAAGGCTTATAGCAGTCATTTCCGGCAGGAAGTACAGTTCAGGGCTACATTAGCATTCTAAGAGAGTGGCTAGGCACGGTGGTGCATGCCTGTAATCCTAGCACTCTGGGAGGCTGAGGCAGGAGGATCTCTTGAGCTCAGAAGTTTGAGAGCAGCCTAAGCAAGAGTGAGACTTGCCTCTACTAAAAATAGAAAAAATTAACAGAAAAAATTAGCCAGGTGTGGTGGAGTGTGCCTGTAGTCCGAGCTACTCGGGAAGCTGGGGCAGGAAGGTCACTTGAGCCCAGGAATTTGAGGTTGCTGTGAGCTAAGCTCATGCCATGACACTCCAGCCTGGGCAACAGAGTGAGACTCTGTCTCCAAAAAAAAAAAAAAAGAATGCTAAGAGAGCTTTTAAAAAATATACATGCCTGCTTCCCATTCCCTACCACCCCACCCCCAGTTCTTATTCAGTGGGTTGGGTGTTTCCTTTTGAGAGCTCCCAGGAGATTCTGACATAGGTTCTCTCCTGCTGTTAAGGAGCACTGATTTAAAGAATAAACAGGTGGTTCCAAACCTTTGGGTGACCACTAGCACTGGACCACTGCATATGCTCACCAGTCATTTTCTGTAGGTGAGTAAGTTAAAGAAGAGTTACTGTTGAAATTTTCTGACCTTGAAAAGGGTTGGGAGCCACCAACAGAGTGTATAAGTTCCAAGTCTTCAGAAAATTAATTAATTAAAGATGAGATCTCACTCTGTCACTCGGGCTGGAGTGCAATGGCACAATCGATCATAGCTCACGGTAACCTTGAACTCCTGGGCTCAAGCAATCCTCCCACCTCAGCATCCCAAGTAGCTGGGACTACAGGTGCACACCACCATGCCCGGTTAATTTTTAAATTTTTTGTAGAGATGGGGTCATACTATGTTGCCCAGGCTGGTCTCGAACTTACGGTCTCAAGCGATGATCCTCCAGCCTTGGCCTTCCACAGTACTGGGATTATAGGCGTGAGCCATTGCACCCAACCCAGAAAATATTTATACTTTTTTATAAATATATCAAAATGTTGCATCCTAAAGTTTGGGTAGAATTCATATTCATGTGAGAGATCTGTGGCTTTTCTTTTTACCATTTTGAATTAAGGACTTTTTCCACAAATACTTACTGAGTGTTATATAGCAGGCACTGAGCTAGGCTGGGTATCTAGTGGGGAGGAGTACGTGATTCCTCTTCTCCCAGGGGTCTCAATGCGGTTGGACATTTGGATTACTTGCTGGTGCCTAAGTCTTCATTGAACTAAAACATTGACAACAAAACCCAGGACCCCAAATTTCCACTGGTCTATGTTACGGTAAGTTCCTCAAACTGGCCGGTCTACCTCTGCAAGTACTTCTCTCTGCCACAGGTGGCTTCACTTCCGCCAGATCCCATACACTGGGCTGACCAGATTTTTCGTCTGTCGCTTAAACAGGACCATTAGTTCGGGCCATCTTTTTTTCATTTTTAGAAATCAGTGATCTTAGAGTGATAAAGATGAGTACTGAGTTTTCATTTAAAAGGTACAGGAGGCCGGGTGCGGTGGCTCACGCCTGTCATCCTAGCACTCTGGGAGGCCGAGGAGGGTGGATCACTCAAGGTCAGGAGTTCGAGACCAGCCTGAGCAAGAGCGAGACCCCGTCTCTACTAAAAAATAGAAAGAAATTATCTGGACAACTAAAAATATATATATACAGAAAAAATTAGCCGGGCATGGTGGCACATGCCTGTAGTCCCAGCTACTCGGCAGGCTGAGGCAGAAGGATTGCTTGAGCCCAGAAGTTTGAGGTTGCTGTGAACTAGGCTGATGCCACAGCACTCACTCTAGCCCGGGCAACAAAGCGAGACTCTGTCTCAAAAAAAATAAATAAATAAAAATAAAAGGTACAGGAACTAACTTTTATTAAACAACTATACCAGGTATTATTAGGCACTTTGCACACGTTAGTTTAGGCAATCCTCAAGATACTGTACACATAAGGAAACCAGTCAATATTAGCTCGCGTATGAGCGCACAGCCAGGACTGTGCAAACCCGTGTCTGTCTGCGACTGGGTTTGAATCCTGGCTGTGCGCTCTTTCCCCCCGCACCCCTGCATATCTGTCGCATGGCCCCAAGACTAACTGCAACAAGTTCCCAAGGATTCGAGAACTTCTTACCCTGTTTGCATATTGTCCGTGTGCTCTGCTTCCTCACCTATCGTATTGTGCTGCCACTTGCATTTTAGCATTTTTGTGGCTTTATCAATATCTTCTAGGACAGGGGTCAGCCAACTATGACTCACAGGCCAAGTCTGGCCTGCCACCTGTTTTTGTATGACCTGTCAGTGAAGAATGGTTTTCACATTTTTAGGTATAAATAGAAAATAGGGGGAAAAGTTATTAGCCTTTGGCAAGAACAGTTGCTCAGTTTTTGCTCCTGGGCCAGACAGCCTAGAATGTTGAGTGTTGGGCCCGTTACAGAGACAGTTTGCTGCGTCTGTTCCAGGAGATGATGAAAAGGTTGATGGCACAGAGCTAGTCACCTTGACTGCAGCATAGCAGTTCTGGTGAAGAGGGGATGAGAGAGATGACCAAACTAAGGGCTTGAAAAGGAAATTTAGGGTCCCCCCCCTTTTGCATTTTAATTATCCACCTCACATTCTCCTCTTTAGAAAATAATCTAGTTTGCATGGGCCCCAGCTGTGCTCCATGGCTCAGCACTGTGACATTTTATATTCACTTATTCAAATATCTTCTAAGGACAAACTTTTGCCTAATTAGTTGTATAATTTTAAAGGTCCCTGCAGCAAAAACAAATCTGGGCAGACTTGCCTGCTGCCTCCTTCTGCTACACGGATGACCAGGAAACTTGTCGGGGCGAGAGGACGGGTTTTACAGCTGCTGAGCACCAGCTCCGCGCAAACTACGGTGCTAGGGAGGCGGGATCCAGGCAACAGACCTTTGCTCTGAAAATCTACACAGTGTACTGGGGGGCACGTGCAAACCACTAATTAGCACTGGCCCAGATACCATCGCCTGGGCCACAGTGAATAAAAGTGGCATGCCAGGAAGTTTTTACTGGATAGCTGTAAAATTAGGTAACTCCGCTTCATAGGTTTATGAAGGTTTTTATTTAAACATTTCATTAAAGCCTTTTTTTTCTTATTATAAGAGTAAAACATCTAAAGTGGAAAAAAGCAAAAGGAAGAAAATTAATACTTGTAATCTTATTACCTGGAGATATAAACATTGTTGGGATATTGGCGTTTGTCCTCCCTGCCTTTTAGACAATCTCATTTTTAACTACCTGTCAGTGAAGAAAGGTTTTCACATTTTTAGGTATAAATTTAAAGTAGGGGGAAAAATTATTAGCCTTTGGCAATAACAGTTGCTCAATTTTCTCTGCTAGGCCAGACAGCCTAGAATATTGACTACTGGGCCCGTTACAGAGACAGCTGGCTGCTCATTTTTAACATGTTGTTTTCACTTACTGTGGCTTTATGTCATTAAATCTTCTACATTATAATTGTTATGATACTATGTTGGTACATACAGTGGAATACTATAATTTCTTTAACCAATCTAAAAGCCTCTGAAAGTTATCCAAATGAGTGTTTTGTTGAATGTTGATTTCTTTTATTGAAAAAACCATTATAAATATTAATAAGTAACACTGAGAAAGTACATCTTTATTTCTAAATATCTTTGTGCATATCCATGATTATTTCTTTGGGATAAATTTTCAGAACTGAAATTTCTGAATCAGAGACATACCCAATTTTAACACTTTTTAGTGACAAATTTCTATCCTGAAAAGTTTGCCAGTTTACTACTCCACTGTCAATCCTTTTGATTTTCCAAACTAAAAACTGAATCTTTGATAGGGATAGGACCCAGGAAATTGGCTAGCTATGCAATCACTATGTATATTATGTATGTACAATTCAACGATGTTTTAAAAATCATCTTTAACACATCATACCAAAGGGAAGGTGTTTCTTGCAACTTAAGGTTAGCTGTAGGTAATAATCTAAGTCATAATTCTGACCTTAGTCTTGTTTTTCGTTTTAGTTAGGGACTAATTCTGATGGCAAACCTAAGACGAGAAAACATTTTGAGATCTTGATTTCAAAACCTGAGATGTATATAGGTTGGCTTGGTTAATTTAAACTTATGTTTCCTCAGCTAAAAATGGCCTTGAATTTTTTCTAAAGAAGGTAGCTTGCATGTTTTTAAAATGTAAGCAGAATCTTACCTTGGTGAAGGCAAAATGCATAACCCTCCCGTATTTCTCTCTTGGGTAGGGGCTGGTTTGGGCGGCCACGCCGGGCATCTCAGTCCTCAAAGCATGTTGTTCCCCCGAACAGGATCTGCAGGCCCAAGACCGAGCTCACCGCATCGGGCAGCAGAACGAGGTCCGGGTGCTGAGGCTGTGCACTGTGAACAGTGTGGAGGAAAAGATCCTCGCGGCTGCAAAATACAAGCTGAACGTGGATCAGAAAGTGATCCAGGCGGGCATGTTTGACCAAAAGTCTTCAAGCCACGAGCGGAGGGCATTCCTGCAGGCCATATTGGAGCACGAAGAGGAAAATGAGGTATTAACAGAAAGCCCCAAGTTTATGAAATCAAACAGTGACCTTTTGTCTCTAAAGGAGTAAGAATAACCCCTTTGTTCTTAAAGAACTTCCTGGGCTGGCGTTAATTAAAATGAATAAATTAGCAGCTGTTTTAGATCCCAAGCACAGAAAGCCTCTGAAATTTATCCAAAGGAGTGTCTTAAAAGGTACTGCCTGAGGGACCTCAAGGCTTGGCCTGCGGGTGCTCCCTTTTCCCGGGGAGGTACAGCCAGCTGCCTTATTGTGCTGTCAATGCTGCCTTCTGGGGGGCAGACGCGGAACTGCAGGGAGGACGCTTGCAGGGACGAGTTCAGCTGGATGAGACGAGACAAAGCTGGAAGGGGCCCTCCTCGCCTTTTCTTCCTCGCCTTGCCCAGAGCCCTCTGTGTCTGTTGCCTTTTGATCAGGGATCACAGCACTTCAACACCTCCAACACCTCCGTAGGACAAGCCCTCACAGCTGTCTTTAGCTCATTCAGCTGTACGTGCACTTGGAAAAGCATGATCTTAACCTCTACTACAAATGGTTCTTTGAGAGCCGCCCAGAGGCTGAGAAAAATACTGGTTCAGCAGTCTTTATTCGCCCAGATTGTAGAAGGAGTGCATTGATTATGTTTATTTTAGGGGAACTTTGGGTTGTCATTTGTATTTTTTTTAGATCGCCAGTTTTAGTAATTTCATACTAAATATTCATTCTGAAATGGATTTGAAATAGATTTTTAAAACACATTTATATAATCTAGCAAACTACAAAATACCAGTACCAGTTCTTATCATAAAACTGGCTGGGGATGAATGTATATTTTTTGTATACCCATACTTATAAATTGAAGAGTGAGTTTACCTTACATATTCATATGGAATGCTATTTTTATTACATGTATTAGATAGATTTTTATTTTTGCCTCAAATAGGATATGTGTTTTTGAAGTCTTCTATAAATTATGAACCAGATTCTTTTTAAGGTCTTATATACAGATACTCCTCAACTTATGATGGGGTTACATCCCGATAAACCCATTGTTAAGTCAAAAATATCAGGACATAGCGCCATCTTAAGTCGAGGAGTGTACTGAACGCATAACCCTCTCACACCATCGGAAAGTCGAAAAATCACAAGTGCAACCATCGTTAAGTCGAGGAGCGTCTGCACTTTTTTTTCCTGAAATGAATTTAAATGTGAAGTAAAGCTTGATATTTAAAGGAATCCTGAAATGAACCCTTTTGCAAACTGAAGAGCACTTCCGTATTATGCTTCCTAATTTGACGGTCTTACATATTTGATTAGTTATCCATTGAGTTTCATGAAATTGATGAAAACTGCCTATGCACACTCACACATCTACACACATTTGAAAAATTTTCATCTCAAATAATTCACCATTTCTGATTCTCGAAATTGAATATCTGATGCAGATATAGACTTAAATCATCAGGTGATTTTTTTGTTGTTGTTTACACACTTGGACATTTCAAACAAAAAACCCGATATGGTGAAGGACATTTACTGTCACAAAGCAGATGTGGACACAGCTGATTTTTAGCCTGTAGTCTCCTCAACATTTTTGCTCATTTGTTTTATGTAGGCCATGTGACGTTAGTACCTGACCTGGTTTAGAAGGGGTGCAAGGTGGCCTGCCCTCCTAGGCTGTAAAGAGATCTCTCCAAAGCCAGAGGAGAGCGCCTCTAGGTGGGGCCTAGAGTGGAATCACCTGCCAAATGCTGCTAGCTGTGAGCATCCTTGCTGAGGCTCCACGTCCCTCCTGGGCCACCAGTGGGTCACACAAACATTGTCATTTTCTGGGTGGCCTGTCTTGGGGGACGCTGAGAGATTGCAATCAAGGGCTCCAGTCTTGAATATCCAAGGCAGCATAGGCCACCGTCACCTTGGTTGACACGCCATCAAGTGCTGGGGCACAAAGAAGCCAGCAAGATTTATCATGCACTTCCCAGCCATTTGGTTCTCCATGAAGGTCTGGTCACCGTGGGCAGGCTTCTTGGGATAATCTTTTCATCTTTGGCCTGGAGATGTCGAAGACCTCCATTGTATAGGTGATGAGAGGGTAACATACGTTCTAGGAAGAGGAAGGGCAGAACAGGACATCTGTTCACCAAAGTATGCGTTAATCACATGGTTTGTACCATGATGTCTAAGCCCACTTCCAACTAGTCTGTGTCCTTGTCAGATGAAATGTAATATTTAGACAAATTGACTTTAATCAATCTGGAAGTAAACTAGAATAGAAGGTTTTTCAGAAGTAATTATTATCTTGAATCATAGATTTTCTACTTTATTGGATTACATTCATTTCTGACACTTATTAAGTTCCTACAGCATGAAAGACATTATCTTGGGAACTGACACAGTCATCTCATTTAAGCTGCTAGTAAGTACACTCATACTCTTTTTCTAAAACAAGTTGCATCATTTTGAACATATGATTTGTGAAATTGGATGTTTGAAGTTCTGTGTTTTCCTCTTTCTTCCCTCGGCTGATACACTGAAATTCCCCATTTGATTTTTAACAAGCCCACTCAGCATATGATAAAAATAATTTTGAAAGATAAGTCCTGTAGTATATGCCCCACTTTTAGAATCATTTTTTAAAAGTGTAGAAGTCATAGTATAACATTTCTGAACAACTTGAACTGATTATTTCTGAGGAATTAGCAGAGAGATAATGTGCCTTCATTTAACATAATATAAAATTAAAATTTTAGCCCTTATGTAATTGCTTTCTCTATTTTATTTAAATTATTTTCTGTTATTGATACCTTTTGTCCCAGCTACAGCTCTAACCATTAGCAATAATAATACCCACAGGAATACATTGATTAACCATATCTTAAAGGCTATGTATTTGGCACATATATATGGTTTTTATTGTCTTACTCTGTGCCTAGTCACAGGGTTTCACATTCTCATGTTTTTTGTAAGGCTTTTTACCTTATTTGGGTTAAGGTAAATGAAATTGAAAGAATGAATTTCATTTTCTCATGTGGTTTTCCTTATTTAAATCTTGCATCCTTCTGTGAAGTAGATGTCACACCCTTTTGACAGATGAAGTCATTGAGGTGGGGAGATATTAAGTAACCTATTTTAAAAGTAACAGAATCAAGATACACACCCAGGAGAACCAGTATTTCTTTTAATGAACCACGTTTCCTTCCTGAACAGATTTTGCTCTGGGAAGATCATTTGAAAAGCTTGCAAAATAACCCAGCAACCCTTCCCCATTTTTTTTTCTGGCTTGAGAAATGGGACCCCTCTGGTCTGGAGGACCGAGTAGCCTTACTTGTCTGTACCATGCCCCAGCTGTCTGGCCTCTCCCCTAAAGCCTGTTGAATCACTGTTTTTAACCCCAGGAAGAAGATGAAGTACCGGACGATGAGACTCTGAACCAAATGATTGCTCGACGAGAAGAAGAATTTGATCTTTTTATGGTAATACAGAAAATATCATGAAAACAAATCCCTTCTTCCTCTGCCCCTCTTTCTGTTAACCGAGATGCTTGGAGCCTGTGTGCCCTGGCAGAACTTGCTTTGGGAAGCCCGTGCCTTTCCTCCAGTTTAGAGGCTGCAAACTGGCTGGATTTAGCCTGCAGACATATTTTGTTTGGCCCACGCAGAGATTTTTTTTTAAATATCCCATTCGTTGCCAACATAAAAAGAATCCTGATTTCTGGCTTCTCTTGAAAAATGAGATCGGGCAATACCAGGCCCACATCAGTGTGTGGAAACAGTTGGCCAGAGCTGAGTGGCAGCTGCACCCACTGGACAGGCCATGTGGTCCACAGCTTACCACAGACCCCCTCTATTCCCAGATTGTTTCTAATCCCAGGCCAGCGTCATTGAGGAAACCTGCCTGGTTCCTGTAGGCGTTTGAGTTTAAACTATGCCCTAGCCATCTCCATACTGGATCAAAGCAAATATGCTCCCTGTGGGGACAGGTGGGTAACAACAGCTAAAATAACACAGGCGTGCTTCTTTTAATTGTTGAAGAGAGCCTGCTTGAGCAAATAGGATCCTTCAAGGTGTGTGTAAAGGTATCACCTTCATTTAAAGATCAAAACGGGTTGGATTTCTCTGGTACAAACTAGGTGTAAAAGAACCTTGGCATTTGAGGATTTGACATCCTTGGTTTCAGCCTTGAGGTTCTGTAACACGCCTCCTCTAATTTTACTGAGACCCGAATTTGATTTATGTACGATGCCAACTGCAAGCCCCTTGACTAGTGAAGGAGGCACTCCCGGAAGTGTGATATTCGCTGCATTCTTAAGGCATTTGCTACAGCTATCTTGTTTACCTCTGTATCTCCAATGACCAGAACAATCCCTGGCACTTAGTAGTTGCTCAATAAATATTTACTGAATGAACAGTGATATTTGCAAACTTGCAGGCTTTGTGACGATGTCAGAATGGATCAGGATGTGTAAAGTTAAGACGTTCCCACCAGTACCATCAATCACTTTGATCTTTATCAAAGACATTTCGCCTGATGGTGGAAGGAGTGAATAAACAAAAACCATAACTTTGGTGGTCAAATGCTGCAGAGCCCTATAATTGGAGGTCCCAAATTTGAACGCCTTCTGGTCTCAGATAAGTAACTGAATGAGGCAAGTGGACAGGGGTAGGTGTACTGGAGATGCTTTGTCTAAGGGGGGCAGACAGAGCTGCAAGGTAGAAATGTGAGACCCATGTAGCCAGAAGTTACGAATTTTCAAGAGAAGCTGGAAATCTAGGTTTTTATATGCAGTCTCTAGATTTCAAAATGTTTGCAACTAAATTCATCTTTAAAAAATTATTATATAACACTGCAGGCCAAACAAAACACTACTGTGGGCCAAATATGACCCACAGAGTTTGCAATCTCTGCCTTTTCAGCCTAGACAGTCTTTGCAAGTGGAGCTCCAGCTGTGTGGAGGCTTATGTTATTTTTGGTTTTTCATGTGTGATTTTTTTTTGTCTAGGGAGTACTGATTGTGTATAATGATTCTCAATAAAAGACATTTAATTCCTTCTCAGGAAAATTCAGGTGGCCATAGGAGTAACTCCTAAACTCCTAACCTGGGTTATGTTCCACCCCTTCTAGCTCACTCCCCCAAAGGAACCACCCTACCCAGGCAAAGTCATTTTGTAGAGAAATGGCAGTAAGAAATATGTAACAGCATGGTCAACATAGGGCATTCATAAAAATCTAAATTTCTTAACTCCTACTGTTGGTCACCACTTTTGTAGATTACAGAATTCTCTATTAGGGAGGTTAGGTATACACGTCGGAAATAGACATCTTCTCGCTCCTTGAGGAACTTATTAAAATGTAGATTGCTGGAGAACACACAGGCAAGAGACCCTCAGCTTTCCTGGCTGATGATCGCTGATTGGCAATAACCCAGCACTGCCGTAGCCTCAGCTACTCTCAAGACCCTGGAGAGGAGAAGCTGCCTGCCATGATCCAAATTAGAGGCCCAGAGATGCAGAATTCCATCAGCATCCCTGAAATAAGGGGAGAAGAGTACTTATCCTCCCTAACTTTTGGCCTGGGTATTTGCAGAAATTGAAAGCCTCAGAAAAAATTTGAATGTGTGGCCAGAGCACAGCCTTCTCTTAACTTGAGAATATTTTACTACCCAAAGAACAGGCTCCTAACAATGAGGCTGATGAGGGAACACTTTTTTCATAGGCACTTTGATTTTGTGAATTTTCTGCTTGTTTCTTAAAGGTTGGTATCTGTTTGGGGGATTATACAGATTTTCAGTGTGGTTTGCTTTTTAAAAAATCTTCAAATCCACTGTCTGCCTTCGGCCAATTCACTGTTCATTAGCACCTCCACCAGGGGGCAGGAAATAAAATGTGAACCCTTGCCAGCTATTCCTATTAAAAAGTTTAGTGAGAAACAAGAACAGAATGTGAGCTAGGATAAATCTTTGGATTTTAAATATTTAAACTCTTTATCTATTATTAATATTATAAGAGAATTAGTTCTCTCTGTAAAATGAATATAAACTTACTGTTTGATTTTATATCATAGACACTGTGGTAAACAACACAGGATAAATAGAGAGTTTCTTTAAAATAAAACCTTTATTTTACACATTTGTCTGGCTTTCTCCTTCTAAAAATGTGACTTCAGAAAAAGTTATCTTTCATACCGATTACTTATGAATTTTACCTAAAAAGATCTTTGACAGCTCAAGATATATTTCTGAAACATTTTACTAACATACACACATTAAGTTTTTAGATGCTATGTTCTCTAGAAAGGCAAGAAGTTGAAAAATTATTCTAAAATTTTAAAAAATTATTTTAAAAATAATTTTACTTGTAAGTATAAAGTTTATAATCAGGTCTCAAGACAAACGTGTTTACGTATAATAGTATCTAATAGTAAGTTAGACTTTTTCTTGAAATGGTGATTTAAGATTCTGTATTGGTATTCTGCAGATAGAAATCTCTAGTGAGAGATGAATTCATTAAGACTTTAAGCTTAACTTATTTAATTGCATCTACCTTTCCTAAAAGAGAAAGCAAGTGTATAATATGCTTTTATATCAGAAAAGATTTATTTTCACAATTGTGGATAAATGCACGGCTGTTTTACAGGCTTTGGGATAGGAAACAGTAGTAGCATAACCAAAAACTGAAGTGGCAATATTTTGTCATTCAGTGTAGGACATTAACAAAAAAATGTTTTTTCTTATTAGCTATCTAATAACTATTAGGAGGTTGCCTCATGAAGCCTCTCTTTAGATCCTCTTATAAACAAGGCATCCTCTGTGTGCTAATTATGAGAGTTTGGTGGATCCCATTTCCGATACCAAAGCATTAGAAGGCAGGATGGAAGCAGAGTGTCGTGAGCTAACTATAGCACATGACAGAGCAGGATGGCCACATTTATCTACCAATGGGACTTTGCCATGCCCCAAGCCTACCCGATTCTGGGAACATAATGATTTCCAAAAGTGTTGAAGAAGCATAGTGTAAGGGGCTCTGAGCTCTGAGTTTTAAATCGGTTCTAGAGGTCATATTTGGGTCTGAGTAGTAGATATTTCATTTACAGTTTATCAGTCTTAGCTTTTAAGAAAAAATTATATCGAACTGTTTCAGTACGGTAGAACCGAAGGAAGAGGGAGAAGGTAAATAATGTAATGATTAATGGTCTATTTGATTGTGGAAATAATACATCTAGCTAGTTATATTATATAATTAATGTGTATAGAAATTCAGTGGCAGTTTTATTTACTCTTTTTTAATCTATAAGAGTGTTTAGTTATTGATTAAAGCCAAATATGTGGCACTTAGTTACTTACAAGTGAACTGAATTTTTAAAAAGAGAGCAGGACGTGGGCACTTTGAAGGCTATGGAAGGGAGCCATGGCACTTACAACCTGATCCGTTGAGGTGAGATTACCTCTGAGCTCTGTCTCTCTGAGGTGTAATATTTTCATAAAAGCTCAACTTTTAAAAGGTAGAGAATTGAGGAGCATTCCTCTCACAGCGCCCACGATGGATTGAAAATTTAGTACATCTGTGGCTGACTTACTAATCAAGCCATTTATCTTCTTTCCACATGTCCAACCACAGGTGGCTATTCTGTCGCTTGGGTCACTGTGGTTTTTTTATTTAATTATCTCATTAAAAGCATGAGCCCTATTGAATAAAAGTTCATTTTCTTAATGAGCATTTTCTTGTATATGCTCAAAGAATATATTTCTTCCAGAGAAGCAACAAATTATATAGCCAAAGCTCATATTTTTGAAATGCATTCCCAATTTTCCCACTGTTACTTAAGGGGAAGCTTTGCACACACACAAATTAAGAAAAAGAATTCTTAAAGAGTATTTTTTTTTTTAAATGTACAAATAAATTTCAAAAGGTGGATGCAGAGGAAGGGAAGGCATTTGGCTTTATGGAATCTCTCCCCAGACACTGTACTTTCGGGATGAGCTAGAATAACTCAACCAGGATGAGGGAGGCTGAAAGGGACCCTGTGGCCGTAGGGGACAACTTGGGAAAGTTGCAGATACTGCAAACGCTATTCCACACAGGAACCCCTTTCCCCTTGGTGACACTGTTGTCAATCTCTCCAGCGTATGGACATGGACCGGCGGAGGGAAGATGCCCGGAATCCAAAGCGCAAGCCCCGCTTGATGGAAGAAGATGAGCTGCCGTCCTGGATTATTAAGGATGACGCGGAAGTAGAAAGACTGACCTGTGAAGAAGAGGAGGAGAAGATATTTGGGAGGGGGTCTCGCCAGCGCCGGGATGTGGACTACAGCGATGCCCTCACAGAAAAGCAGTGGCTAAGGGTAAGTGTGGCTTTTCTGACATGCCCGTGTTGGGTAGAGTGTTTTTGTTGGCTTGGAGAAACCTAGAGCTGGAATTCTCTGAGGGGGATGCGTTGCCCATCAAAGGGAAGGTGCTGTTGAACACAGCAGGTAAAGTCATCCTGCTGTTGCAGGGAAGGCATTCTGCATTGCAAGGCAGGACTTAGAAAAAATATCGTGAAGAATTTTTTGCTAGAGCAGCTTGGCCATTGGAAGCACAGGATTGTGAGAGCTGTGAGACCCACTAATGTTTTATGACCAATTGCCTGGTCATGCCTCACTCTCTCCAACTGACAGTCAAAATGTGGAAGGGCACCTTAGAAATCTTCCTAATTGTTGCCTCTGATTTTATGATCTTAATTGGAGCTTTACTTTTGCAAGGCCTGCGGAGATAGCCCAGAGACAGCAGAGTTTCCTAACTGCATTGTTATTTCGTAGACCCACAGCACATTTAGAGCTGGAAGGTGCCTTTGTACTCTCTTGGTGTGACAAGGAAGTTGAGACCCAGAGAGGTTATATGACTATGCAGGACACACAGCTAGCTAGAAAGAACAGAATCAGTCGGTGCTGATACATTTGCGTGCTTGATTTCGGCTTGATCTGATCTGTCCATTGCAAACACAGGCTGGAGCATGGGACTCGGGTCACTGATGTTTGGAAATGTTATTCCAGAGTTTGTTTGTGTTCTTTTTCCCTGTGGAGAAATGGTGATTTCTCATTTTGACTGGGGACTGAAATCTCAGAATGTTCCTCGGAGAGCACAGAAATATCAAAATGCTCACAGGAGTCATGTGGTGTGATTGTGGAGGCCCGTGTGAATCTTTCCTTTGAGGGTTTAGCTCTACTTTCCATTACTGGGAGCGGACTTAGTACCTAGATAGGCAGAGCAACCTAGGACATGCATTCCAGACAAGGCCAATAAACGCATGCTGGAAATAGTAAGTGCGGTTGGGTAAAAACCAAACAAAATAGAAGCTGTTGTATAGGAATTGTTCATTTTATCAAAAGGGAATACAGTTCCCAAGCTTCGTGAAACATGCATTTTAGGACCCAGGCCATACATAGGTAGGTGGGTAGAAAGGCAGTGGGAAGTATTTTGAGATTGACTATCAAAGGCAGACAGGTCTTGGCACCACTTGAGATGTGATTTACTCAGGATGTTGTGTGATGAGAGGGATGTGACTTGAATTTTGAAAAGATTGAAGTCTGTGTGACTCTGAAAAGAGAGAGACTAACAAAGCATCACTCATATTTATGGTTGAGCAATGGCGTATAAAATGTAACTTGTGTGTGATGGTTTTACTGTCATTTCCAGTCAAATATTGCATTTGAGTGGCCTCAGAATATAATTTTATGAATTTTCTTTATTTCACTATTGAGGTTTTAGTTGTATAATTAAGATTCATTCTATAATGGGGTTTTGTTTGTTTGTTTAATAGTCATTTCTGAGCTCAGGAAACTTCTATTCCCTTTCTCTTTTATTTAAACAATAAATCAAATACCTGGAATATTATTACAGCAGATGAGACAACAATAATCTAGGCCAGGGTTTTAAATTCAATCTTTGATATGTATAATCTCTAAACATTACAAGCAAAATAACTCTTTATTGGGCAAGAATGTAGCCAAACTTCTGTTTTTTTATAGTCATTGGGAATTGCTGTTAAGAAAAATAACATTATGAATCTTAGGAAGTTTTCAGGTTTGATGCCTACTTTTTTTCCTCTTTTTCTTTCAATTTATATTGCTGAGAATTAACACAGTACCCAGCACATGGTAGAGACTCAATAAATGTTTGTGAAAATGAAAGTATGACCTTATAAGAGGAAAGTGGAAAGCTACTAACTTACCAGTAATGTTAGGATAGCACTTCTCTTGTTAGTGCATCTAGTAGACTTCTTTTACCTATAACGTAAACGTCTAAAAACAGAAAACTAGTTTGTTTTACAAAACTACATTGTGGATTTTTATAATTTTAACCCTTAAGTGCCTCACAACATACTAAGTCATCCAAGAAGGATAAAGCTATTCTCAATACAGCTTCATTGTAATATATCATTTTGTAATCTAATCTTTTGGAAACCGTATATCTATATTTGGTATGAACTGGCAACTTGCTGTTAACTAAGAAACGTACTGAACGCAGAATGCCCCATGGCCTAAGCATTCAAAATAGATGCTTACTGTCGTATGTTTTTTTGTTCACCACCAGCAATCCTATTTAATATCAGCCTATTAAGCTTTTTGATAATAAATGGATATTAAGGGATTCTCATGGGCCTGGATGTGAAGAGATGTTCTCTACTGACTTATGATTTAACATGTTGCGTGAACCCAGCCAACATAGCCTTGAAAGGGAGTTTGGCAAGGACTGTTGTGTAAGAAATGCTGTAACAGGGCTAAAATAATTCTTCTTTTTCCTGGCAATGTTGTACAAAGCCTGTTTGGCAGAGGCATCGGAGATACATCGAATCCCAGAGTTGGAAGGCAGCTGAATGGAGCAACTACTGCCCGTCCCTTACTTAAATCACATTCTCTGCAGTCCCTGTGCCAAGCGGCTGGCCAACCCTAAAAGGAAACACACTGCATTTTTGTCTGCATGGTCCCTCTAGTTCACAGTTGGCTCTGATTTTTGGTTCTTCCTCCCTTTGAATGGAATCCTCTTTCCCTGTAGCTGCTCCTTATGTCCGTAATTGGATGAACAGAACAATATATATTTTTTTCTGTCTTTAGCATCACAGCCTCATGGATAATATGTTTGTGTACTCACATTCATTCTGGAATGAACTTTCCTACCCTCTTCTTTATCTTGAAATTTCTTCATCCTTCAAGGCCAAATTCAATTGCCACCTCCTCTGCGGTGCCTTCACAGGTAAATGCTACCTGCACTTTTTGCACTGTGTTCTCTCAGTTCTTTGCATTTCCTTCTGTCACCGTTTCCCAGTATTCTTGGTAGTTGCCAACCTGCCTGCTTTCCTGACTAGGCAGTAAGCTGGATCTGTGTCTTCTTAGAATTTCGGATTTCAGGGTGCAGCAATAAGTGTCCATTGATTGCCAAATTGAAACAGCACTGGATTGATGTATAAGAGTATAGATAAAGAGAATGTTCACTGCTGCAACAGATGGATCTCACATGCATTTTCCATAGACCTATCCAAAAAAATAAATACAAGTTGATTTCTCACTCACAGAAAAGTCGATAGTGGGTGTTTCTGATTGGTGAGAGCAGCTGTGCTCCATGGGGTCATTCAGGGATCCAGGCTGCCAGAGCCTCTGCCAGCTTGGTCATCTCCATCCTCATGAGCTGGAAGTGGGGAAAACAGCATGGAGTAGTGGGCGTGGAATTCTAACAGGTCCTGCCTAAATGGTTACACATCATTTCTGCTCACATTCCATTGGCTAGACTTGGTTATGTGGCCACTCCAGCTGTAGGGGAGACTGGGAAATGTGGTCTGGTTGTGAGCCCAGGGAAACAAGGTTTTGATGAATACCTAGCAGTCTCTGCCTCAGCACACTGAGGTTAAATTTAAAGCCACTTAAATTATGGCCACTTTCTTTGCAAATGGTGTTAGAGTTTCATCACAAACAGGTTTTATTTTGTAATCATAGTATGCTAAAAATTCCTACAGTGTCCTTTAGAGAATCTGTTTAGTTGGAAGAATTCAACATTTTTTTTCTGTATTCATAATGTTGTTTTTAATGAGAAGGATCACAATTTCAATCACAGCTCAGTTAAAAAAAAAAAAAAAGGTACTTTAAGTTGCCTTGAAATCCTTGTTTCCATTGAGGAAACTTAAATGACTTTGGTGTTAGCTGATCTCAAGTTAACTTCATCTTTTGGAGATAGTCAGTTCAACATTCACTTACCCCTCTGGGCTGCTTCTTTCTTCTCTTGGGGGCTCCCACCCCATTTCCTTCCCAAGATGGCATCTGGATAAAGATGGAAGCTGGTGTTTCGGCATGCACTGGGAACGGGCGTCCTGGTTCTCCTGCTTCCCTGTGGGTCTCCGCTGGTCTCAGCACAAGGCTGCTGGCCTGCTCCTGTCCTGAGAAGTCTTGATGTGCAACTGGTCCCATCTCATTGTCTTGGAGACCTTGATGACAGGTGCCGTTGCAGTCTGGGGTCCTAGCCATACGCTCTAGTTGGCAGTTTTTCTGCATTCAGCTGCCCCGTAAGGCTCCTGGCCTCTTTGGTCTCACAGTGCTCTCAGGTCTTTTGTATTCTGTCTGGGAGCCTGCAGACTCTTGGCTGCTTTCCCCACGCTGTGCTAGAACATGAAGGATATTCTCCCTCAACAGTTGCTAAGTCACCACCAGGGGGTTGTCAAACTTGAAGCTTCTAGAATCTGATGGTTGGGTGGGTGGGTCCTGCAGCTTTTTAAAACAAGCCATTCAAAATGTCTTAAATTTAAAAATATTATAAAAATATGTGACCACATGAACACAGTGAGGGCCCCTCCCAGAGCATGGGAAGGAGCTCGTGAGTGAGAGACCTGCAGCCAAACTTCATTAGCTTCCCAGTAAGTGCACCTCTGAGCATTGTTAGTTCCTCACTCTCTTGTTCCTCACTTCACTCCCCTCAAACGCCCCAGGTTTGGACACCGAAGGGGCAACATTCTATTTCAACCCCAACTGCAATTCGATTCTAGCACTACCTACCCAGAGTTAACATATACCCCGCAGGTTAGAGGCACAGTCCTTAATGAGACTGCCCTTACTTCAGACGCCAGCCACACTCTGGGGTCCCTAGGTCCCCTACACTTCTGACTTACTGGCTATAAATTCAGGGATTCCCATGAACCCTTTGGGTTCAATAATTTGCTAGAATGACTCACAGAACTTGGAAAGGTACTGCTGGCAGTTGCACAGTTTCATTATAAAGTACAAAAACATCAAGAGGACTAGCCAAGTGAAGAGAGACAGAGGACAAGGTCTGGGCGGGAACCCAGAGCTCCCCTGCCTTCTCCTCATGGAATCGGGGT